GGCAAGTTAAATGTAAATGCAGATGTAATGTACAACCCAACACTCTTTTACAAGGCCTAGGGTATCTTAATTCAATGTATATAATGTACCTATTTGATGCTCTGTATCGACAAAAACCCTATTCTCACGAATTGCCTTGTTTCATTTTCTTTTGTTAGACACAGCACATACAGATGTTAACTGTTCTCCAAATAAACCTAGTTACTGGTGAAAGTACAAGAAAAGTGCTGTTTAGAAGTAAATCTGAAGTGCTTCATTAGTCTGAATCTAAAACTCTCAGATAATTGATGCAATCTATTCAAAACTTCCATCATAAAGGTTGAAACAGGTAACATCTTCAATAATCAAAAAAATTATGAGTTACAACTACGTGCAAAGAAAGGCATTGTTCATACTTCATACATCCTCATCGACAGCTACGTTTATCCAATGAAAATGAACTTACTTTTTTTTTTCTTCATTGATCTTCATTTGCCGCCAACAAAAGCCACCCGCAGACATTCGAATCATATCGCCTCAAGCTTGCAAATGAACAGAATTGATAATCCATTAATGCAACAGTGTACATATCTCATTTCCAAAGCATCAGCAATATGCACTTGAGAACATTTCAATATCCTATATAAGGATATACTGATTCCTGCTTGAACCCATCAAAGTGTTGTCAAATTACCTCATAAAGAAATCCTCATAAAAACACTCTAAACATTATCACAACATTAACACAAAGAAAGGCCCAATATTCACAGACCCTAAACAAAAATTCCTAGTTTTTAAACAAGGTGACATATCATTCCCATGAAATAAGAAAGGAACCAAGAAAAAGGTAAAATATCAGCTATCTGCATTGAAAAAAATATTCATTTCAATAACAGATAACAATTATTAGAAGAATAATATATAATTCCTGCTTGAACTCATCAGTTTTTGTCAAAGAAAATTTCCTCCTAAATCCTCTTTGGTATGATGGATTAACAACAGTATAACAATGCAAAGAAAGTCCCAATTCTTCAAAACCCTAAACCAAAATCCCCAAAACACAAAAACCCCAAACAAATTCAAGCTGATGAAATTTCAAACCCTAATCCAAAATCAAGCCGATTCATTTTCATCAACACCACCCGAATTCTTCTCCGCCTCCTCCTTCTCCCCAGACACGTCCTTCAAATTTTCCCTCTCTTGCTCCAATTGCCTGGCCGCCTCCTCCTCAGCAGCCTTCTCCGCCTGCAAGAGCGGGGCGTAGTAATCGGAGTGCGCCTCCATACAGCTCTTCAGAGCCGCCGTCACCTGGAAACACTTCTCGACGATATCCTCTTTGTTCTTTTCGCCTTCCTCGACGCACTTTTCCCAATCTGTGAAGGCCTCCTTGCATCCGCCGCCTTTCATGAACAGGCAAAATCCACACTCGCCTTCTTCTTCTTCTTCTTCTCCTTCTCCTTCTCCTCCTTGTTCGCTACTGTCTCCGTCTATGGTCGCTTCTTCGGGTTTTTCTCCGGGGATGGGTTCATTTTCTGAAGCTTTTTCTTTAATTTCTGCGGCGGTTGGCTCTGGTGGCAGACCGGCGGATATTTCGATTGGGGATTTCGGTTCTGGGGTTGTGGCGCCGCCGGAGAGGTCGGGATTTGGGGAGGACATGGTGACGGCAGCGGCGTCGGCGGCGGTGGAGTCAGGTTGCGAAGGTTTGGACAATAAGTCGCCCATGGCCGCTGCTGATAAACCCCCTCTTCTTAAACCCCTTCTTTGATTTTTCTTTCTCCGAATATTTTATTGTTCTCTTTTCTTTTCTTTTTTTTTTGGTGTGTGTGTGTGTGTTCTGGGTCTATTATTTGACTTTTCTTAACGGAGGGGTCAATTTGATAACTTGTGAGCTCGGTAAATTCACCTCTCGTTGTGTTTTTCTTTTTATTTATTAGTTTTTTATTTTTCATAGTTTTTACTTCATGAGTGTATTTGAAAAGCTAGAATAACATAAGCTGGTACGTGGTACCATGGACATTTTTATGTGATAGTAGTGTGCCAAACTCCTAACAATTAAACCACCATATATTTTAAATAAACATGTACGTTGTTGATATCCGAGTTGGGTCAACATAGAATTCACGGTTCAAAGATAAGGGACCGGGCGAAGAGGATCTTAAAACCCAGGCCGGTGTCCGAGCAAGTCCGAAAGGCCGAGCTGATCGAGAAATAAAGTTGACGAGGATGATGAATAGTGCAACCCTTGAGATCGGCTCCTTGAGCGGTCAAGTGACGAGGGCGACCCCTGCTAACGCCGAATAGAAAAACGGAACCCCAGAGACTAAGAGATGAAGCCATGACAAGAGTCCGACCTGAAAATTCGACGAGCTCGGCTCCCGTATGAATGCGGGGTTCAGTGACGATCTAATATGGCCACTTGTCGAGTGATGATTGTCGGTGGGACAGGGTATCCTAGTCAACCACCCTAGAGCATCTACAACGTTAGGGCGGCCTGTCAGCATTAAATGCCCCACATATGTGTAGGGTGTGCAAACTCAATCTCACATCGAAAAATTAAAGGTTTCCAGTCCAATATATAAGCTTGGTGGGCTACTCCTTCTATTGCCAATTGGTTTTAGAATGGAACCCTATTTGAGCTTATATGTTGGGCTTGATGGAGAACTGGGTTTTGAGTTGTTGGTCCCAACAATTGGTATCAGAGCCACGGTTGGTAGCCCAGTTGCGATGTGGATGACGTGGCATGTTCCCTGTGGAGCCAGCGGACGATTGGTGGATCCGTGTGCCTTGTGTCGAAAGTCTTCCTGGAGAAAGGATAGCCAGGCGGCGGGTTCCGTGGGTGATAACGGCGGTACAAGATGGTTGGATCGTATGAATTTCGTTCAAGGGGAGTCCCAATGTGGTCTTGTGTTTGAGGGAGGTTTGTAGGGTGTGCAAACCTAATCCCACATCTGAAAATTAAAGGTTCCAAGTTCAATATATAAGCTTGATGGACTACTCCTTCTATTGCCAATTGGTTTTAGAATGGAACCCCATTTGGGCTTGTATGTTGGGCTTGATGCAGAACTGGGTTTGAGTTAATGGTCCTAATAATGTGTGTATTTAATGTCTAACAGGTAATCATTGGAAAAACCTCAGATTACATTTAATGCCTGTCAGAGCGGCGCCGACCTGTCATCCTGAACTACTGTGCGAAGTGACAGGGTGAACAGTGTCTGAACAGTAACAATTCAGAGTTACTATAAATAGACAACCTATTTCATTTATTATGGGTTGTTGTTCCCTCCATCAACCATTTTTCTCTCTACATTAATTCCCTCAAGTTTGTAATATATTCTCGTGAATATCCCAAGTGTAACAAAAGTGCCGAACTCACAATCTGAAGCCAAACGCGTGATTAAGTCTTCTGGTGTAGTGGCTTGACCCAGAGAACCAGTGTATAACAAACGAGAAAACTACTTAGTCAACCACTCCAACACATTTTTATTCCTTATGTACAACTCATATATACTAATTAGCAAAATTAGCAAAAAATATATTTTCATTTGCATAACTACTATAACCAAATAATTGTTTGTAATTGAATTATATATGGCAAATGCAGATTTAATGGGATTGCATAACTCTCTCCTCCCTCTCTTTTCTCCTCTTCTATCTTCGCGGGTGCCCGCGGCAATGGTCGAAAGATGTTGAGGCTGCTTAAAGCGATCTACCACACGAGAAATTGGTACCTCATACGGCCATGGAAAGAGAGATGGTGGAGCTCGCGATTTGGGTGCCGCGGTCGGGAGGGTGTTTTCAAAATTCGGGAACATGGACGTCATTGGGGAGAGTTACGGCGTGGACCGAATGCCGGCGTCGTTAATGCTCCACTCCGCACGTGCACTTCGCCGACCCGCTGCCTCTCTCCCTTATTATCGAAGACGATTCCAATGACGCCGTGATTGAGATGTCTTCACCTTTCAGCCGCTGCGCGATGGACGAGATGGAAATTGTCGAAGATGTTGAAAGCGATGACTTAACTGAAAAAAAAAAACATAAAAAAATAAAAAATAAAAATAAAAAAATTAAGTGACAAAACCGACCGGGTTGACTATTATAAGGCTTAACGACGAACGTCAAAATTTTGTGCAAGACGGACATTCGAATATTTTTCAGTATATGTTGCGTTTATAATCTGTATATTTTCAGTATATGTTGCTTTTTTAGTTACATACCATTTATCTAACTACATTTTTGATGTTTGGATTTTGTTTATATTTTCCACTTAATTTTATACCAATGATCTATACAATATTGATATGTAAAACACTATATAAGTGCTCTAAAAAAGATTATACATACTAGTTAACATTATTACTCTACCAAAATTCCGTTTATACTTGATTTATAACATGTAATTTTTTATATAACATAAAAGAACATATGTTGTAGAAAGCGATGACCCGACTAAAAAAAAAAGAGTAAGGCCAAAACTGACCAGTTCGACAATTATAAAGAAAAAAAAAGGTCAACGCTAGCGTCAAAATCTTGTGCAAGACGGGATAATAATTTCAATATATGTTGTTTTTATAGTCAATATATTTTCAATATATATAGCGTTTTTATTTATGTAACATTTATCAGCCCCACCGTACTAATTTCTACCCAAACATCACCACCATATCTTCCTCCCACCTCTACCGAACTAGTCAGCTGCAAGGACGAGAAAACCGCTTTGCCTAGACCGACTCAATCCTACTTCCATTGGATCGATTACCTCAACCCCAACCCCTTCACCAAACACCTCTACGACATCTTCGACGACGGCCTAGAGTCCCCTGTCGGCCGTTACACATAGAGAGAGAGAGAGAGAGAGAGAGAGAGAGAGAGAGAGAGAGAGATGTTTAGGTATGAAATTTTTTAATTAAGGTAAATTAGTTAAGGATGAGAGAGAGCATTCAGTTACGAAAATTAAAGAACTTACCTTTTTTCTATTTTCTTTCGGTAACTGATTATAGACATATTCATAATTTATTTGGTAGAGTCGGTAATAATGCTAATAAATTAAATTGAGTTGCATTTGTACAATTTTTTTTCAAGTCATAGAGCATGTTTATAAATGAGCAATCACTGCATTTTATCAAAACATATTGTGATTGCAACTCTTACAACATTATGACCGTTGATACTTCATCCACTTATCTAAATTATATCAAGCAGATGATTATCTTCCACTCAACTCCACAAAAGATGGTAAAAAATACGTCACCAACTTACATCACAAAACAAGTTAACATTAACCNCCCACAAAAAAAAAAAAAAAAAGTATAATATTGACCAAATTTACTCAAAATATTACACTCGGGCAACTCAGTTCTGTCTTGGTTGTTCATGTTCTCTTTATTTTAGAAAAAGTTCCCGTCTCTGAAAAGTACGTGCTTGTTCCACCACCAAGCTGGTTTGCCTGGGGATTTGATAGCTCAATCCCCTGAAAAAGCATATAACATCACAGATTAGTACCCAAAAAGAAGTATGAGAAAAATGCCAATAAAATAATGAAAGAGCAAGTACTATGGGGTGTTTGCAGACTGTTCTAAAAAATAAAAGGCCATCTCCCACATGGAAAACCATGCATGATAACAAACTCTAAGAGATTAGACTTGCGAAATTCAAAATTTTCCAACAAGTGCTGAAAACAACACATTTCTAGAGTGTCTCAACATTCCCTACAACATGACATCAAAAGCTAAGCTTTCTCTATACACCATCATGTTTAGTAGTTAGTTACTTTTTCTGATGAAAATGTTTAGTAGTATGTACTGCTTTGCTTAAGCCACATCAATGTGAAGGAATAGTGGCAAAACCTGCACAGGCGTGAAAGCCAGGCTAGAAGTCAGTCCAGAAGTTGCACCACCGCTGCTTCCATAATTTCTGTCCTTAAATCTGAAAATCCAATTCCAATCAGTAAATGAACAAGCAATGAAATATGAGAAGCAGGGTAAATGGATTTGCAAGACAAATAGTGAAAAAAAAAAATCACGATATTACAAGAGCTCTAGTTCCATTCCAAACGGGTAAGCATTCTTGTTTGTTATCATCAAAAGCAATTTGAATGGGTGGGTGGTTGGGGGCGGTATAGTATCAAAAAACAAAAGAACAAGGGAAAAAACTTATTATACTTCTTGGCAACTTTAGCAGCAAGTCTACTCTGACCAACTGATACACGCAACTTCCCATTTCCAGCTTGACCAAGCATTCCGTATCCTTCCCCGAGTCCATCACCTTCAAGGGTAAATCCAATATATTTCAGAAACAAAGATTTAAAATGACAACCAAAATACAAACAAATCATTCT